GCTGTCAGGTGCCGTGGCCTAGGTTTCTCACTGAAAATCCTCGTCCCCCGGCGGCACTTTTTTTGAATGTTTTCCTTTTCAACGCCGTTTTTCGGGGATTTCGGATTTTCTTTGAATTTTTTCGCAATAATATTTTTTTAACAGATAACTTTTAACACATTTTAATGCAAAAAAATTTTTGGTCGGAGTCCCCCTTTAAGAAGAAAATCCACATACTGTAGTTCAAAATATCTAATTCCGAAAAAAAATCGGAAATGATCCCAAAAAAATTTTTCGGAAATATTCGGGTCTGAATGTCATTCCGAAAATGGTTGATTTTCAGAATTCCGAATTTTGTTCCGAGCATCCCTGTTCTCATCTCGTTATAAAATTCACCAGATTTCATCTAGTCGACACTAGATGAACGAAAAATATTAGATCCTGAATACGAAAGCCTGGAGACAGAGATTCCAATTTTTTCATATGAAAAATTCGATTGGAACTTTTCATCTCGATTCTCCAGATGTGAAATACTACGACATATGTGTGAGAGGAAATGAATGCAAAAAGAATAATGAGTGATAAAAGTTTTCGAATTGAAACATGAAACGAAAGAGATAACTGAACAAATGTTCATGAAGAAACGGGAGAGAGTGGATCAAGCTCTATTACACATTTCTAAAAAGAGATTGATGAGTGAGATCAAAGAAACTAAGGGAAAATGATCATGTTTGCTCACCCAGGTTCTGCACATGTGTTGTAATAGGGACTCGGAAGTGGAAAACCGTTTGAAAACTGGAAGAAAATTTTAAATAGATCAACGAATACTTTCAAAAACGAAAAATGTAGTTGATAGATTATCGCACTTCATTCCATAGAAGCTCACCCAAACCGTTAACTTTCAGCTTAATTATCTCGGTTTCTGTAAGATATATGAAAAACTATTCAACTGATTTAATATTTCTGATATTATGATGAATAATTAATCAGTTGACAAAATTTTCCTATCTTTAACAAGAACAAAGATTAATTGGCTTAAAGTAATGGGCTTCTATTACAAGTGGACGGATTGGACGAGCTTCTTATAGAGGAAATACGGTATTCCAAATTGGGCATCCTCTGCAGGAATTTGAAAAGCTTGGTTACTGTAGAACCATTTCAGCTGACTGTTTTATTTCTCTGCTCCAAATAGGAAAATATTTTTTTAAAAATCAAAAGATTAGACGAATTTCAATTTTTCAATGTTTTAAAATTTCCAGAAAGGGGTTTTTTTTGGTGTTGTGACAAAATCTTCATTTTGAGCCATTTTTGTTTTTTTGAACAGACGGAACTTCTTGTTTATGTATGTTCTTGAAAAATTTGAAAAATTGAAAAAAAACTCAAAAAAATTCTGGTAAACAAATTCGAAAAATCAAATTTTTCTCACTATTCAATATTTGTGTGAAAAATCTTAAATTTTAAATAATCTTAAATTCACGCACAAATGCTGTCTGTTAAATATTTTTTGAGGTTTTACCAGAGATTCTCTACTTTTGATGCACTGAAACAGCTATTGGGTATTGTGCCAAACACAAAAATTTCTATCTGGAATTTTCCAAGTTACTTCTTTGAAACGTTCAATTGAGAACATTTCCCTGTGGAGCACACTAACCAGTAGAAATGGTTTTACAGTAATCAAACTTTTCAGATTCCTGCCCAAATTGGAGTACCGTACTAATAGAAGACCACCCAAACCGTCAAATTTGAGCTCAATATCTCGATTTCTGTGAAAGATATCAACAATTTGCCTACTGACGAATTGTTTATCATAATATCAAACAGCTTTTTATCAGTTGACAACTTTTTTTATATCTGTCACAAAAATGGGAAAATCGAGCTCAAGGTTTACGGCTTGGGTGGTCTTCTATTAGAGGAAATACGGTAATTTTAATATCCGCCAACAAATGTGCACCCAAAAAATTGCGCATTGGAACAACTGTCCTTTTTTCTCTCGTCTAACTGAGCACGTTTTCTTCAAGGTATCATATTTCCAGTTAGTTGGAATTCCAATTTCTCTACTACCTCTTGTTTTCCCACAATTTTCCAAAAGAATTTTCATCCAGATTTCAGAATGTTTCCCAGACAACCCATGACTACATAATTCAGGGCTCTCTTCAGATTCCCAGTTTCCAAAAAAGGTCTTCTTAACCCTCTTCGTCCTCAACGTCTTCTTCTTTTTTTCCTTTTCAACCTGCGTCTTTTTTTTCTTTCGTTCTTTCTTCAACATCCCCTCCTTCTTCTTCTTTTTGTCATTTTTAGCTATATTTTATCCGAAGCGCACACAAACTGACTACATGAAATAATCGTGATGTTTTGAAACGACTCAAATAGAGAGTCATCAGAATATCTTCTCCTATTTCTGTTCTCATTTGAATAAATTCCAAAACGAATTAGCTCTTTCTCTTTGAATCTGTAGCTCATTTATTCTATTCTTTGCTCTTTCCTTCATTGCATAATTTCGTTTGATTCTTCCTAATTAGAACTCAAAATAGAATTCACGCTTCGATTCATTTTGGGGCATGCGATTCTGTAACGAAGACGTCATGAGTGAAGAAATAGAAAAAAGAAAAGGATTTCAGATATGGAAAAAGATTTATTCGAGTTGACAGGTTTCTTCTTGGTTTTTTCGAGGATGTGAAAGGATTTGAGCTCTTTACTGAAGAAATTTCAAAATGACTAAAAATATTTACCGCAAAACCTGTAATTTTATCTTTATTACTGTGAAATATATGAAAAAGTTGTCAACTAATAAATTATTTACCGTAATACCACCAATATTTTATCAGTGAAAACATTTTTGATACCTCTTAAAGGAGCCGCGATAATTGACCTCAAACATGATAGTGGGGCCCTTCTATTACAGATTTTACAGTATTCCGAAAACGAACTCAAGAACTTTGAAGCTCAAATGTTGATTCTTGTGAAACCATATTCCTTTTGTTTTCAGTCGCATGATTTCCATATTCCAGCAAAATTTCAAGAACAATTGCTTTTCTAGATCCTTTTTTCTAGATTCTTGTTGCCCAAAAAACATAATTGCCAAAGTTTAAAACTTTTTTCTAAAAACAACAACATGTTGAGTTCTGGTGGCTTATGCATGTTTTTTTTCACATTTTTGCTCTTTTTTGTTTCACTAAAAAATTCAAAAGTGCAGCATCTCCTATTATCAAACTTCCTCTTCTTATTTTCTCCCATTAAATGTTTGTATTTTTGTATAAACACAAGATGACCCTAGTCAGTATTTTTCTCAATTTTTCTTTTCGTCGGCTTCGCGAGCCACCAGACTATTCAGCATAAAGGAGGAGCAAGGGAGAGCATTAGTGCAAATAGCAAATAGTGCGTTTATTATTTCCTTATTCTTCTTCTTCTTCCTGACTTTTTTCGAAAACTTTTTGCAAACAACCCACATTCAATAATCAATGATAGCTTATTGAAATGCAAATTATCTTCGTGTCAAAATGAACAAAAATAGGAAAAGAGAGAGTTAGATGTGGGTTAGAATCCACACAAGTCCCCTTTTTTCTCTTTTTCTTTCTCTTCATTCGGTTCTTGTGCAAATACCATTTTTCAATGTCAAATACACACGTTTCTCAGTCTGTCAGGTTTTCAAGTTGAGACTTTAACGAGTGCTATTCATATGGGACAGATGTTTCATAACCTGAAAATAGTGCCAAACTTTGAAACTTCTGAAACTTCTGGAACTTCTGAAATTTTATTTTATTTAAATTACTCGAAAAAAGCAAGTGATTTCAACTAAATTGCCAAATCTGAATTCACAAGGAATTTCGAAATAAGAGCCTACCACTAAACCTGTAAACGATTAACTTTTAACTTTGAGGGAATATATCTCAATTCCTGTCAAATATTAAAAAAAGCTGGCAACTGATGAATTTTTTTCATAATATCACAATTTTTTTTAGTTAACTGACCAAGTGTTTGTAATATTATGATAATAATTTTGTCAGTTGGCCGCTTTTTGATATCTTTTATAGGAATCGAGATAATTGAGCTCAGAATTGACTATATCGGGGCTCTTCTATTACAGGTTTTACGGTAATATTAACTTTCTCACAACCGAAATATTTCAACTTTCTCAGTTTTTCTAATTAGATTTAGCCCTACTCTATCTATAATTCAATACTTACTTCTCTGATTTAATCATTTATTTTCACTTCAAGTTTGTTTTTCTTTCAACAACCCATATTCAAATGTCCCCCCACGTGCCTAGATTTCTCTTCAACACCTGAATTAACCTGAAATCTCTCTAAGAAATTATTATTTTTCTCTTCAGCTGTTTTCAGTGGTTTGTGCTCAAAATGAATCAGGCGAAATTCACCTGCTCATTACATGTAATTTGTTGAAAATTGTTGTTTTCAACTTGTTTCTGTTTCTAAGAATTTCAAATATGTTGGCTCTCTTGTCACAAGATTCGAAAAGTAAACGTTTCAAAGTGAAAGTTGTTGTTTAAATCACTCATTTTGTTGAGTTTATGAAAATTTCAAATGATGTATACTACTTACCGTAATCCTGAACAGAACATAGATCATTTGAAAGCTTATACAGGATGGCGCATAATTACCCGGACTAAAGTTTTTACTAGCATAAAACTTGAGTGAAACGTTGTACTGGGCTGAATGTTGGAGTACGAAAATTCCAACAATTCATCAACAAACTGACCAAGTTTCAGATTATTTGATTAACTTTGAGCTAAGTTATCGCTTGTCAAAGTTGTTTCATCTCATGAAAATCACAAAAAAACATTATACCGTCCATTTTTGGACACTCATAACAATACCTAGACTTGAGTAATCGCTTTGAAAATTTCAGTAGCTTTGAATCGAACGTTAAATTATATTTCCACCAAATTTCTTCATCTAGAGACTTATGCCTAAAGATTTACTCGTTTTTATCCGTCCAGGTAATTTAGTATGTCTACCGTAACCCTTAATCGAACTTGATCATTTGAAAGCTTTTGATTGTTTTCGTTTGGGTGAAGATTTTAGAAAAAAACCGAATTTCATATAGAAGGCCCAAAGTTTTGTTTTCAGATAAATCAGGACATGTATAATAAAAGTTTCAGAATCTAAAAAACGATCCCATCCGATGAAAATCATTTCTTTTCTTTTCCATTTTTTCCAACCCAATAACTTCATTTTACGACCACGTTATCTGTGTTCCTGCTCCTTCACGTCACTTCTCTCTATCGTTTTTTCCCTCCCTCCCGTTTTTTGTCTCTTTTGCTCTTTTCCTGTGTCATTATTTGTCCAACCTGATAATGTCCTTCATGACTAGTTCTTCACTCGGCCTTTTTCATTCTAATTCTCCGCATTTCTCTGCATTTCTTATCGTCATTTTAGTGATTTCACACAGTTTCAATATCTTACGTGAACATTTTGACTTAATTTTTATGCTATCACCTACGCTATGCTCCTATAAAACTGGAATCCCTGTTTCAGCAGGGATGAGTTGGAAAGAGTAGAGTAGTTATTGAAAATGGAAGCTGAAAGTTTCCGATCTGAATCACAATGTCTTCTTCTCTCCCCAAGTAAATATTCAATTAGAATTTCCCAAAAAATTTCAGCTCAAACAAAGAAAAACAAAAGAGTTCAGATGCTTCACCGGATACAAAACTATTCGAAGAACCTGGTTTAGGAATGGTTGGATTTTGGCGCCAACTCCATTTTCTACTATGGAAATGCGTTTTGGTTAGACGGAGACAAAAGGTACCACTCTATAGAGTCTCTCCAATTTGAAAAAGAAATAAAATTTTGTGAATTTTAGTTCTGGTTGGCTGTTGAACTAATTGTACCATTTATCTTATTCATTATTATCGCGCTTGTGAGGACCAAAGATTTCTCGGAAGGAATGCCACAATGTGAGTTGATGGTTGAATTCCTAAATTTTCGAATTTTCGAGTTTTGGAGTAATGACTGAATTTCAATATTTTCAAATTTCTGAAGTTTCGAAGTTTAGAACTTGAGATTTTCCAAATTACCAATATTTTAAGTTTCTGAGATCCTGATAGAGATTCTGATAGAATTCGGAATTTCCTAATTACCGAATTACCAATCTTCTGATCTCTTTTTCATTACGGAATATTCCGATTTTCAAATTTAATCGAAATATTCCAGGATGAAAAAGTTTCTCAAAAACTAATTTTCTGAGATTCTGATTTCTTAATTTCTGAATTGCCGAATGTTTGAACTTGTTAAATTCCGATGTGCTGAACTACTCAAAATATAGATTTCTGAGATTCTGATTTACCAAATTTCTGTACTTCTCATATTCCGAATTTTCAAAACTTTCGATTACTAAATGTCCGAATTCTTTTGGAATTTTTTACTTTGGAATTTTTTAATTTCAGATTTTTTGCAATTTGAGAATTGGGGAATTCGAGAGTTTGAAAATTTTCAAAGTTCTTAATTTTTGAATTTCTGAATTCGAAGCTATTTGAATTTCTGATTTCCTTTTAAGAAGACAAAAAAATTTCATATGATTACGGGTACTGCAAGCAGGAGCCAGGAGGTCTAATAAAAATTTGAATTCTCTCAAAAACGGCTTTTCAACTTCTTGGTCGCAGATAGAAAATTTTGAAAATTATGTAGCAGAAAAAAATCAAGTCGAAAATTCCAGATAATATATTGTTTCCATATATTGTTTCCATAGGCTATGCACTATTATTCTTCTTTTTCAGGTCACTACGACTCGAAAGGAATGCTCTCAGCTGGTGTTCTTCCATTCATCCATTCATTCTTTTGCTCATTTTCCAACAGATGTAATGCAATTCCAACGACTGGAGATGAAAGAGAATTTCTGTTTAATGACAATGGAAACCTCACGAGAAACGAATCTATGTGAGCAATCAGGGCTTTAAAAACTAAAAATAAAGACTTTTTAGAATCGTCGATGCCATTTATTACTCCTCTCTACAACTTCGATGGATCGGAAAGAATCCGAAAAAGTTTGAAGATTTAACAAAAGGAGGAGCGGAAATCATTCATTGGCTTGCTGGAAAGTCACTAAACTCAACTGAAGTCGTTCGGATTGGAGATTTATTTGACACTCCGATAAGAGAAAATCTGACAAAGGCATTGAATAACACAGGGCTTCGATTGGAAACTGCACAAAAATTAATGAATGTACGATTGGAAGTAGGAGCAATTGAAGTTTATGATGTGCTCAGAAATGAGTTGTCATGGACGGATTTGTTGTTTTCGAATCCATTATTTTGTGATGAAAGAATGTTCGAGAAGACGTTTTCGTTTGAAACAGGACAAGAAATGACAAGTGAGGAGAGGGATGAATTGTGTGATGTTTTGACATTGGCTGAGATAATGGATTATAAAGGATACATCAGTGAAGTTACAATTCCAACGGCATCTCGGTTCCGAGCTCAAACATTCATGACATCGTTTCAAAATTTATTTGAACCATCATTAATTTTCTTCCAAAAGTATTCCAACTATACAACGGATCAACTGCTATTAGCCCTGTTTTGTGGAGAAGATCCCCGAGATGTAATCGAGCAAACCATCAATCCGAATAACGATAAAACAGTGGAGACTCCATTTGAGAAATTGAGAAAACAAGTGATCAAGTGAGCGAATTCTTGGGTGTTTCCGCTTTTTCAAAACGACCAAATTTCCAGGTTCATCCAAAACGTAACACCCGGGAAAGAGCAAGAAAAGAATAGCACATGCAGTCCGGTTCCCTATCATAATGACATGAATTGTTCTTCATTAGAAAGTCCAATTTTAATGAAAGTCAGAGCTGCGTTATCTGGATATATTCTAGTGTCTCCTGATAATCCAGCAACAAGAAGAGTAGTAGAGAGATTGAATGTCCCACTTCGGGATGTAGAACATATACGGAACTTGTTGTATTCTTATCCATCCGATGCGTTGGAATTCCAAGATCGACTTCATGCTTCTGACTTGTGGCCAGCTAGTCAGGTATGAGGAAAAACCGAAAATTCAGTTACACAGAATCTTTTTTCAGAAACTCCTTCACTTCATCAAACTCTACAAGGATGGTCAGAACCCATTGAACAATAGAAATATTCGTTTCTTACTTGAACATCTATTTGCACCATCTTCTGATGAATACAGTTTTGGAAGTTTCACAAAAAATATTACCGAAGTTGCCAACAAGTACACAGGGGTACTTTCTAAACCACAACTTCAGAATTAATGTCTGAAATTTTCAGTGTTTCCTTCTGGACCGTTTCCGTTTTGTGAGTGATGAAAAAGAAATGGAAACCAATGCAGTTTGTCTGATGGAATCTCATCAATATTTTACTGGAATCGTATTTGAAATGAATTCAAACGCAACTGAGTTTGACGGATTTACAACTTATAAAATCAGGCATTACCCAGAAATGATTGACTGTAGGTTCACTAACTTCAAGTCAGTTGTTTATCTAGTCTGAAATTTCAGCAACCACCAGTTTCATGGACAGCAGAAGTAATCCATTCACTCGAGACAAGCCACTGATAGATTTGAAGTATTTAACATTCGGATTCTCATTTCTTCAAGAAGCCGTGGATAGAGCAATTATTAGTGAGAAATCCAACTTATCTGATGCCAATCTAGGTGTTTATTCCCAACAAGAACCGTATCCATGCACTGTGAAAGACACGTGGGTTTCAGAATTCTGAATCAGTTCTAGAATTTCATGTTGTTTCAGATTCAATGTTGCACTTTTCATGCCATTGTTTCTTCTTATTTCATTCATTTTCCCATCTGCGCTTCTGGTGAAAAATATTGTTTATGAAAAGGAACAGAAGATTAAGGTAGGAATATCAAAAATTACCGTAAAACCTGTATTAGAAGGGCCCCACACTGTCAAGTTTGAGCTCAATTATCTCGACTCGTTTACAAGTTATCAGAAGGGTGTCAACTGATAAAATATCTGTGGTATTATGATAAACATGTTATCAGTTGACAACTTTTTTCATATCTTTAACATGAACCGAGATAAATTGGCTTAAAGCTAAAAGTTAGAAGTCCTTCTTTTTCAGCTTTTACGGATTTACTCAATTCAATCCAATTTAAAATCTGCAGGAGCAAATGCGTGCAATGGGTCTAGGTGATGCTGTTCATTTTGTGTCATGGGCTCTGATCTCATTGGTCCTAAATTTCATTTCCGTTCTTGTCATCTCTATCATTTCGAAAGTTGCCAAAATCTTTGACTACACTGATTATACACTTTTACTTTTTGTTCTGGTACTATTCTTGTTTGCATCTATAGGTAAGGAGCGCGACCAATTTAAGATCAATCTAAAAAACATCTCTAATCTTCAGCTATGTCCATATTCTTTTCAACTCTTTTCACAAATGCCAATATCGCCACAGCAGCCACTTGCGTCCTCTGGTTCGTATTCTTCATTCCATTCCAACTACTCCGAACTGACAGAATATCCTCACCGACTTTCAACAGAATTGCGGTAAGAGCTTTCAAAAATGAAATTATTTCAAATCTTCTGAGTTTAAGCTTCTTCTTCCTCCAACTGCAATGGGACACTGTTTCAAACTTTTGGAATCTTTCAATGCCATGGAACGTGCGTCTTGGTCTGATCTCGGAGAGATGAGCAATCCGGATTTGGGAGTTTCCGTTGAACTTTGTATGGCTATGCTGCTTGTGGACACTGCTCTGTTTCTGATTCTTGCCTGGTACATTTCAGCGGTGGCTCCTGGAGAATACGGTGTTCGACAACCTCTCTATTTCCCATTCATATTGAAATACTGGGCACCTGGATTGTATAAAAATCGAGTCGAGTTTATAGATGACGAGCATTTCGATGTGATACCAAGTGAGTTTAACTAACAGATTCTTGTGAAAATATTGAATTTCTAGCGAGCGACTCATTCGATTCGGAACCAACTAACTTGAATCTAACAGTTCATATCAACTCGATGAGCAAGGTTTATGAAAATGGAACGAAAGCTGTAAGTTCTGAGGATGTTTATAATTTTTGAACGTTTTTTTTTCAGCTGGATTCTCTGAATCTTCGTCTATACGAAGGACAAATCACAGGACTTCTTGGACACAACGGAGCCGGAAAAACTACTACAATGTCAATCCTCTGTGGTCTCTATGCCCCGTCTTCTGGAACTGCAAAAATCTATCAAAGAGACATTCGAACAGATCTTCGCAGAGTTCGAGATGTTTTGGGAATATGTCCACAGCATAATGTCTTATTCAGCCAGTTAGTTATTTTCAAGTATTTTTCCCAAACTGTTCTGTTTCAGTCTTACTGTAGCTGAGCAACTTCGTCTGTTTGCTGCTCTGAAAGGAGTGCCAGATAAAGAATTGGATATACAAGTGGAAGAGATTCTGGCTAGTGTCTCATTGACGGAAAAGGCAAACAAACTGGCTAACACTTTATCAGGTAATGTTGAATATATTCAAACTTCTAATTTGTGAATTATTCAGGCGGAATGAAAAGAAGACTGTGTATTGGAATCGCGTTTATTGGAGGGTCTCGGTTTGTGATTCTAGATGAGCCAACGGCTGGAGTTGATGTTACAGCCAGAAAGGACATTTGGAAATTATTGCAGAGGAATAAAGAAGGTTGCTCACTAAAAAATGCCTTAAAAATGATCAAAAGTTTCCAGGCCGCACGATTCTTCTATCCACCCACCACATGGACGAAGCAGATGTTCTATCCGATCGTATCGCTATTCTATCTCAAGGTACATTAATACGAATTTTCTGAAAGTTGGAAGTTTTTTTCAGGTCAATGCATCACAGTTGGATCATCCGTTTTCCTAAAACGGCGTTTTGGAAATAATATGTCATTGGCAATGGTGAAAGAAGATTTGAAAGTTGATTACGCGAGAATCTCATCTGAAATTATTGAGTTGGGAAGTGATATTGGATTGGGAATTGGAGATGAAAATGAAGAGGAAATTGTGTTCAAGTAAGAAATTTCCAATTGATATCCCCCTATAAATTCAGTAATTTAGAATTCCAATTCAAACGGAGTCTGATAAATTGGAAAAGTTCTTCCTTCGTCTTGATGAGAATTTAGAAAAGTATCGGCTGGGGCAGTATGGAATTTCTGCACCAACTCTTCAGAATGTAATTTCTTTTAACGGCTTTGAACCTGTTTACTTTTGACCATTTTTTCTAGATTTTTGTTTCGTTGGCTCCTCAAAAAGAGTATCATGTCCCGAAAGTAGTAAAATGTGGATTCCTGAAACGACTGAAGGATAAGCTTTGTAATTCGTAAGTGCTCATAATTTAGCACTCTCCAACAAGATGCTAATTCAGAGGAGGGCACGAAGAAGATCAAAACGATTTGACTAGTCTGAACCCGGTAGTTGTCGAAAACAACATGCCACAGAATAATGAGGTTGAAGAAGTCAAGTTTGAAGGTTCGTTTACCTTTTTTGCAGAGATCGAATTTTGAAAGTTCCGAATTTTGAAAGTATTTTAGATTTCGAAAAACCAGACCTGCTTCAAGGAAAGCGACTAATCCTTCAACACTTTTGGGCTCTTCTCGTTTGTCGAATGAATTACACTTTAAAAAGTAAACGAACATTTTTGTTCCAAGTGATCATTCCACTGGTTCTTCTGGCTGTCGCTGAACTTTTCGTAGTTCTTCAAGTCTCATCATCTCGTCCTGATCTAATGACTTCGATGCCTCCACTTCCCCTGGAAACTAGCATTCTGGGAAATCATAGTGATTTTTATGTGAATTCATGGGATGCATCAGAGAACTCAACGGCTACTGGAATCCTTCACTCCATGTTTACTTCTCCTGGAACTGGTCCAAGATGTGCCAAGGATACGCCAACAGAATATTTGTGAGTTTTTAAAGAAAATCTTAAGACGGTTTATCTTTTTTCAGATCATCGATCCGAAGGGAACTCTTATTCCGAAATCGCTACGGTTGGGGACGCAACATGCCACCTCCAGGTGTTAAAAAAGAGACAGTGTATGAAGTTACAGTAATCCCTATTAATTAAATTGTTTCGAAATTTAGGGAGAATGAGTATCAGTGTCAAGACATAACAGGAACATTTGACTATACTGAAGATATATCGAATGTCACCTACAATGAACCTGTCTATTGTGATTGTGAAGATTTCGGATGGAATTGTACTTTGGTTTGTTTTTTGAGATTATTTCATAAATTCAAAAAAGGAACTTCAGGAGAACTGGCCATGGAGAGAAACGCCATGGATTGGATTGAACACCACTGATCGGATATTCGATCTTTCTGGAAAAAATTTGACCCAATTCAGAATGATCACTCGAAATGCACAGACTTCGAATGCCACTGCTCCTTTCTTGTAAGATTTTCGAAATTAATATATCATAAACCGAGAACAAACGCTTCAGCTTGGGTGGTTTCTCACTGGGTCATGTGAATCAAAGAGCACAGAGCCAGAACGACATTGATATTTCAAAGAGTGGATGGTTGGAAGCAGTCAAAGATATTACCGAAGCTACAGTTATTATCAATCTGAATACAACTGGAATCGAACCGTCAACTCCAAAAGTCAAAGATCCATTCGCAGAGAATATTACAGTAACCAAAGTGATTGATGACGTGCTACAGAATCTCGATGTTAAAACAAATGTGAAGGTTTGGTTCAATAATAAGATTTGGCCTGGATTGCCAATAACTTCAAATATTCTCTCGAATGCATTGTTACGTCTAGAAGATCCTGATATTGGTAGGAGCCATTTTAATCAACAGTGACGAAATTAAAATATTTTAGCACCTGAAGATCTCGGAATCTTGGCGATGAATCATCCAATGAATAAGACAATCTCTCAGACATTGGATCAAAACGCACTGCGATTCACACAGACTTTGGCCCTATTCCGTATCACTTGTCTTCTTTTGGTCCTTTCCATGATTCCAGCTGGATTTACAGTATATTTGGTTGAAGATCGAATTTGTGAAGCATTCCATTTACAAATCGTTGGAGGATTGAGAAAAATGACTTATTGGGTAACCAGCTATCTGTATGATCTGGTGAGTTTTGAAGAAGAAACAGGCCATTTCGAAATCTTCTAACTTTCAGACAGTGTACACATGTGTCATACTGGTCATAATGCTGATTTACGTATCATTCCGAGTGACAGATTTCACTGGCGATGCAGCCACTTTCTTCTCGTTTCTCCTTCTGTTTTTCATGCAAGGAATGTCGGCTATTCTGTATGCGTACGTCTTCCAGAAAATGTTTTCTGTTCCTGCTCTATCATTTGTTCTCATTGCTATCGGATCATATTTTGTTGGAATCGTTTGTGCTCTTACTGTTATCATGTTGGAGACATTGATGGTTCAGGTATATTCCATTTTTGTTGATTCTACATTTTATTTTTTTCCAATTCCAGGACCCAACTCTTGTACCTGCTCATAACATTTGTGCTATTGTATTCTTGATTCTTCCACAGTACAATTTAGGAATTGCCATCTTCCGTGGTCTAATGATTTATCAAGTTAGGAAGATTGGATCCAACTTTTTGGGTATCTACACTTGAATTGAATACAGTAACTTATAACTTTTCTCAGAACAAATCAATCGGCCTGACATGATCGATCAACTTCCTCTTCCAGCGCTTTTGTCTTTTGATCAAATGGGAATGCATGTTATGTGTCTATTTCTTCATGCAATTCTGGCCACAATCTGTCTTATTTTTTCTCAAATGGACGAGTTTGGATTTGTAAGGTAAGAAATCAGTGTTTCTGTTTATCAAACATCTTTACTCTTTTTCAGAAGACGGGAACGAAATCTGACAAGCGCAATGATGCTCCGCGAGCCACCCTATGATGAGGATGAAGACGTGGTAAAAGAGAAAAATCGAGTCGATGGAATCACATCAGAATCTTCTCATAACTACTCCCTGGTCGTCCGAAATTTGGCGAAAGCATATAATCCAGAACTGTTGGCAGTGAAAGGTATCTCATTTGCTGTAGAACCCGGGGAGTGCTTTGGACTACTCGGTCTTAATGGAGCTGGAAAAACGACGACTTTTTCAATGCTCACCGCCAAAATCAGGCCAGGACATGGATCGATTGAAATGCAACAAACTAGAATTACCACTGGATCATTTTCCGATGTCCAGAACTTCCAACAACTCGGTTATTGTCCCCAATTCGATGCTCTCAATATGAAGTTATCGACAAGGGAAAACTTAAAATTCTACGCAAGGATAAGGGGGATAGTGCCAACTCAAATTGACTCGGTGAGTTGTTAACTAGACATTTTGAATTGAAAATATTCTGAATTATCTTTAAGATCATCGACAGACTTCTTGTTGCTCTTCATCTCCGTCCATATGCCAACACTCAAACATCGAGTCTTTCTGGCGGAAATCGTCGAAAACTATCAGTTGCTGTGGCTCTTGTCAGTCAACCATCACTGATATTTTTGGATGAACCATCAGCTGGAATGGATCCAGGTTCTCAGCAATTCCTTTGGAAAGTCATTGAAAGACTATGTAAATCTGGAAAAGCGGTTGTACTAACATCTCATTCAATGGAAGAATGTGAAGCATTGTGTACTAGGATAGCAATAATGAATAGAGGACGAATTAGATGCTTAGGAGGAAAGCAACATCTGAAATCAAAGTATGGAAAAGGATCAATGCTCACAATGAAAATGGGGAAAAACGAGAATTCGAGAGAAATCGCTGGGATTTTGGTAGCTAAAATAGGAGAGGGATCTCGAATCGAAGCAGTTCACTGCTCAACAATTTTCATTCACATTGAACAAGGCACAGCCAGTGTCGCACGGGTCTTAAAGATTGTTAATCAGGCGAGTGAATGTTTTATTTTCAAGATTTTAACATTTTAATGACTTCAGTATTTTTCAAAACGTGTAGGTTTACAAAAATCAAAATCTGTGTGACATGAATTAAGGTCATTTTTTCAAATTTTCAGATCAAACAGACGTATGAAGTTGATGACTTCACACTATCCCAATCAACTCTGGATAATGTATTCCAATCGATAGCTGAAAATCAACAAGATTCATCATCATCGTCATCTGATTCACATTCTCCAAATGCAACTTTATCAATTAATCGGAATAATACAGCTTCCACATATGTGATGGCATCTGATCATTAAACTCTGTGATATTAAGTTGTCTTTTGTGATTTCGGATTTAATTACTGTATTTATAATTTTACAACTGATTAGTCTAACTGGGTTTCTCTTTTCTTCTCCCTAAATATTTTGTTTTTGCATCTTCTTACTGTCTATTCAATAAAAGATGGGCGCGCCGCAGGTTACAAAGTGACACGCCCC